TGAGACGTCGAAGCTCCCACATTTTCTAGACAATTGGCTCACAGGAATATATAGAAAAGATAAAATTAAAGAAGATGCAGGAACATATTGTGTGAGTCAGTACATTGAACGAAGAGAATGTGAAACAAAAATAAGTGGGGGGAGGAGGAATAGGAGGACAAGAAGAGAAGGTGAGGGTGGAGAACAAAAGAAGTGGAAGAAGGTTAAGGAGGAGGGGATGAAAAGGGAAGTAATGTTACTGTTTTTATATCACTTCCAAGCCTCTGGGTTGTTCACAATATCACTACTTTGCACCACCTGACTTTGATGTCAGTGACCTAAGTCTGTATGGGATTGCAGTGCTTAGCCAAGGATAAGTTAATCATGCTAAGTATAATTGATGGAAGTATTAATGGAGGTGATACCAGCTGCTGTATGTTGGGTGTGCATTATCTTAAAATTGCAAGAATTAAGCCAGTTTTGTTATGTTTAGTTTTTTATTGCCCATTTTGTCTTAATTATTAGCTCATTGTTACGGAACGTAACCATGTACTTAATGAATTGCAGGAGATGATGCATCAAATCCTGTGTGGTGTAGACTTCCTCCACACACATCGAGTCATTCACAGAGACTTGAAGCCTCAAAATCTCCTAGTGACAAGTACAGGAAACATCAAGTTGGCAGACTTTGGCCTTGCAAAAACATATGACTTTGAAATGAGGCTGACATCAGTTGTCGTCACTTTGTGGTATCGTTCACCGGAAGTCCTCCTTGGGCTGTCTTATGCGACACCTGTAGACATTTGGTCATGCGGCTGCATAATGGCTGAACTGTTCCGGTTGTCTCCACTGTTCAATGGCAGTTCCGAAGGGGACCAGCTGGATAGGATATTCAGGTGAGATCTGTGATATTCAGAGAAGTTGAATACATTCCTATGACATAACTCGTAAAACATAAACATCAAGCAGGCAACACACTCATGTTGGGCAACCTGCTTTGAGGTTATGTGACCCACTGGCGTGTCATTATGTTGTGCTAAAGTTATCCTGGCGCATCCCATCAAACCATTAACATATATGAAATATAGCATGAACGTGTTAGACAACTTTTTGAGTTATTGGGGATGAACAGACACATACACAGACAAGTTACATGTTTGTGGGTGACTGAGGGAATTAGCATGGATGGAACTGTAATGAGTGAATTCTTGGAAGTCTTCTTCAAATGGCATCCTGACATCCATTTTAACTTTGTTTAAATGCCTGTGAGGCTCAGTTTTTTG